GACGGGGGGCGACGAATGACTTCGTCAACGGGCGCCGCGTTACCCAGGTGGCGCAATCGATGTGGAAAACCACATGGGGCGCGATGCAACCGCGAACGCCCGCAGAGCACACGCACGCACACGCACGGCTGACACCCGCGGCGCGTGACGCCCATGAGGCGCTTGCGCAGGCCCACTGAGCGACACACCTGGGTTACGCCCAACTCCCCCCCTGGAAACATGCGCACAGCTTGGGTGGAAACGTGGATGACGACACGTAATGAGACAGAACGTGTCCCCGCCAAGATAGGTGCAGCCTTCGCGACGTGCCCGCGCACGCGCGAATTCACGCCGAGGTCGGTGTATGCAGCCTGCTTGGTGGGGTAGGTCTTACAGAACCTCGTGTAGTCAGAAGGATTGTACTGCACCTTCGGCGTTTCCACGGCAGGCTCCTTCGACACTGGAAGCTGCGACTTCTTCGGGAGTTTTGGCGCGCACCACAAGGGCCCGCTGCTCCACAGCCCAGAGGCAGCGGGCACCAGAGGGAGCCAGAACCTCTGCGACGACCACCACATCACAGCAACTGGGCGTGATTGGAACCGTGCGGGGCGGGAGGATCACTGCGAGTTCAACGCGGCTGCTCGTTATCTCACCTACCACTCGCTGCGCAAATCCAGCCTCATCCTGCGAATATTTCCTCTTCGCCTCCGCCTCGCACTTCTCACCACATTATTGTCTCTCTTCTCGGGCCGGGCGAAAAGGGGGGATAGAAACGGGGGGCGGGGAGAATCAGCTCACGTAGCTGATTTTCCCGGCGCCTCCTGGCGCTGGCGGCGGCGATGTATCGAGGCATGGGCCCTTCGGCGAGGCCGAAACCAGCTGCATGCAACAGATTTCGTAACCCCCCCTTTCCCAATCCCCCCCTTTCGTCCGGCCCGATCTTCGTCGAACCTCTCCTGCCAAATCGTCATACTCATCCTTCTTCTCATCCTCATGCAAACCACGATTGCGAGGTTCAGGAGGGAACTCGGCCGATCAAGAGTGCAATGGGAAACTCTTACAACTTCCGAGTCCTGCCACGTTGCCACGGAACCTCCACATGACATCCCGGACACGCCATCGCAACTCAGGAGCTGCCATGGGCGCCCTCGGTGGTCTTCCCCCCGCCACATGCCATCGATGGCTTTTAAGATGGCGCCAAAAGGACCCAAAATGCAAAACGAATGGAGGGATCCGATGGCCCCCAAGATGGCCGATAAAATGGCTCCAAGAGGCGTCCTCGCCCTCGAGACCTTCAGCCTCATACGTCGGAGGAGACCTTCAGCCTCATAGGCCGGCTGCAAGAAGGTCTTCGGCGGCTGTAAGAAGGTCTTCGGCGGTTGCAAGAAGGTCTTCGGCGGCTGTAAGAAGGTCTTCGGCGGCTGCAAGAAGGTCTTCGGCGGCTGTAAGAAGGTCTTCGGCGGCTGCAAGAAGGTCTTCGGCGGCTGTAAGAAGGTCTTCGGCGGCTGTAAGAAGGTTTTCGGCGGCTGTAAGAAGGTCTTCGGCGGCTGCAAGAAGGTCTTCGGCGGCTGTAAGAAGGTCTTCGGCGGCTGCAAGAAGGTCTTCGACGGCTGTAAGAAGGTCTTCGGCGGTTGCAAGAAGGTCTTCGGCGGCTGTAAGAAGGTCTTCGGCGGCTGTAAGAAGGTCGTCGGCGGCTGTAAGAAGGTCTTCGGCGGTTCCAAGAGGCTCTTCGGAGAGCGCCAGAGGCTCTTCGGAGAGGCTCTTGGGTGAAGGGGGGGGGGGGGGGAAGCCTTTTTTGACCCCCCCCCCCCCTTCACCGCACTCGATAATTAATACACTCCGGAGGACCCCCCGGCCATACTAAAACACCCACCGGGCCGCAGTAACAACCAACGGGCCGCAGCAACACCTTATCTCGACACCTTTGCCCCCCCCCCCCCCCCCGTCCAAACTGGCCGGACCGGGCCCCCGGGGGAGGGGTTTGGGGAGGGACCGGGCCCCCGGGGGAGGGGTTTGGGGAGGGGGGGGCATCTCACACGCCGTGACCCCAAGGGGTCGGCGGATTTGTCGTCTGCCTCGTAGTGCGAGCTGCTACTAGCGTGGAAGTTGACGGTACTGCTGCGTGTACCCGTCCCTCGTCGCCTCGGCATGATTCGTTTCGAAATCCTGTTCAGAACGTACCCCTGGAGTCTTGGAGAGGGAAAGGGCATAAACATACACTTGTGGAGGTCCTCACGGATTTTTTGGATCTGGGCTGGGGTCCCCTGGCGACGCCTCTGGCGTCACTATTGGCGCGCTCCGTACGTGATGCAGATCCAAGAAGTCTGCGCAGGCCTCCGAAAGCTTGTGTGTTACGCGTTGTTGTTCTTTCTCGTTCGGGTCGGGCAGATCTTGGCCCTGACACATCCATTCGTCGTGAAGAAGTCGCGAAGGGAGCCTTCGGGCCGATGTTGGCCTCGGGCCCCAGGACCGTCAACTTTAATCTTTTCAGATGTCAGGAGGGAAAAAAACACACACAGACACAATTAATCGTCGATTTCCCAGAAAATATGGGAAAATATGGGAATTGGGCGGGGAAGACAAACACCCAGAAAATATAGGAAAATATTGGGAATCTTTTTATTTGTGTGTATTTATTTGTGTGTCCCAGTTTCCCTTCAAGATGGGCCAGAGGTCTTGGCCCTGGGCAGGGGTCCAGACCCCTGGGGAGACGCGTCACGAGAAGATCGAGTCGGTCTTGTGTGCCAAGGGGGGTCACCGCTGGGGTCGTCGTCGCCTCCTCGATGATGGGGGCTCCCCTGGGCCCCCCAAGCCACAAACCCTGCCAGGCCGCCCAAAACGTTTGAGATCGTCCAGAGACCTCCTCGAGCCTCGATCCTCGGGAGGAGCTGGCGACCCTCCTTCCCAGACGTGCGGCGTTCTCATGTTGTCACAGCGTGGCCCCTCAGAGCCCTGGACCCCTTCCTGGAGACCGACTTGTCGTCCCGAGTCGTGTTTGACGGAGCCGAGGACGGGCACGCGCAGAGGTCGAAATTTGCCAACAGTTGTCCCTCGTGGTTTCTCAAGCCGCGATGGGGTCAGGGTCGCATGACTCGGAGACGGAACAACGGCATGCACATAGTTTGTCTGAGTTCCGTGCGGAATCCTCGGATCGACGAGGTTTCCTTGGCGCGCGGAACGCGCAAGGCGCGGCGACGAAGGCGCCGCCAGGGGGCCCAGCGCCGATCTGTGAAACCCGCGCGGATCCAGGAGGGCCACACATATTCATGTCCACCGTCTGCCGAGGCCCCCACAGGTCGATCTCCCAGGCGGTGGCTAATGGCAAATACACACCTTTCAATGAGCAGAAGTTTTCGGAGGCCCGCGCGGATTTCTTGGATCTGCGCTAGGCCCCCTGGCGGCGCCTCCAGCGCCGCCCTTAGGCGTTCTCCTCGCGCCAGGGATAGGGGGGGTCCATCGCGGATCCAAGAAATCCGTGCTGACTGACCTCCGCAGGTGTCTTCTCGTGCCGCTGCTATGTAACCGGCTCGAACAGCCCCTGACCTCGTTGCGGCGCGGAGAAGTATAACGAGGGACGGTCTCTTGGCAGTCCTCGGCCCCTGCAGGCCCGTGCCAGGCCCCGGAACCGTCGAACGCGACCCAGAGATGTGCGCAGAGCTCCGAGAGCTGGTATGCGTGCGGCTTTCGGTCTTCCCCTGCAGGGAGGATCGGGAAACGCATGACTCGAGCTCGTGACCTCGGGCTTGCCCACGGACGGGGCCGTCATGATTCTTGAAGGTTCCGTTCTCGCGGGGCGTTTTCAGCGTGACGTCGCGCCAAGTCTCAGAGTGTGTCTCGTCATTTTCTTGACGGTCCCGTCAGGCCAACCCCAGTCTTCAGTCGGGCCTGCTTTGGGATGATTTTTTAAAAATATCTTTTGACCATTTTGGAGTATTTTTTGAATATGTTTCATTTTTCGTCGAAAATCCCTTGTAGGGGGGGGAGGACACGCCCGACTTTTCACCCCAGTCCACGAGCTCCGAGTCTGACGCCTCACCGAGAGGAGAACGGTGGCAACCGTCTGGGGCATCGTGCTTCGGGACCTCGGCAGACGGTGGAAGTGGGCAGACTCCAGGCTCGGGAGGACCACACTTTCGTTCATAGCCACCTGCTACCGAGGTTCGGAAGGATCGAACTCCCGGGCGGTGGGTCAGGTAAACAACCCGCCTCGCACATATGCAGTTTCTGCTTCTCGGCTTCCCGGGGACCACTACATCGCATAAACATAACTTTTTGGAAGTCCGCGCGGAGTTCTCCGATCGGCACTGGAGCCAGGCCTGGGGGGGGGGGGGCAGCGCCGATCCGAAAAATCCGCGCGGGCCTCCAAAGTCGTTTTTATGTTTCTGCAGCGTTGCATAGACATTTCCAACTCCGCGCTCCTCCAAGTTCCCCTGATGCGGGCGCCACCCAAACATACTCATTCGGGGCCTAAGAAACGGGGGTCAGTACAAACGGGGGTCAGCCAGGGCACCGGATCCTGCATGATCCTGCGAAGACCCCCTCTGGCTGACCCGGGTTAGCGAGCCGCTCGTGGCCGCGAGGCGGCCGCGCACATTGGCCGACCCGGGTTTGCGAAGAGCTGCATTGCAGTTTTTTGTTCCTGCATTGCAGTTTTTTGGTTTCCTGCTGACCTGGGTCTGGATTGACCCGGGTCAGAAGATCCTCGACTCATCTTATGCAGGCGTCGGCCCTCAAGGGGCGGCGCGCGCGCCGAGAAGTCTGATAGTAGATGCTCGGCGGCGGGCGCTGTCTGGCCACGCCGCTGGGGCAACGATGTACGATAAGGCTGCTGTGCTGTATGTTCGGACTAGTATTTCCTCGTGGCCCCCCTTGTGGATGAGGGTATATCCGGGCCTTGGGAGGGCAAGACTTCTATCCAGATCCGCCGCCTGCCGAGGTTTCCAAGGATCGATCTCCCAGGCGGTGGTGATGGTCAAAACCCCGCCTCGCCCTCATGCCGTCTCTGCTTCCCCTGCTGCGAGGAGAGCGGCAGCGCGAGCCGGTGGGAGGAGGCACTCGAGCTGTTCCGGGGCGCGGCGGGCCAGCGTGTGGAGGTGGGCGCCGCGCTGCACACCGCGGCCCTGGGCGCGTGCGGCAGGGGCAGGCGCGCGGTGGGCCTCCTGGCAGGAGGAGGTTTGCCACAATCACCTTTTGGGTTGCAAGTCTTGGTGTTACTTGGAAGGATGGGGGTTCAATCCATCATTTGTAGTCTTGTGTGCCATTCTCGCGCCGTGGCCCCTCCTCACCTCTGCGGGGGAATGGTGCGGCACTAGCATAAACGTTTGGAGCTCCTCGCAGATGTCTTGGATCTGCACTGTCCCACCCTGGCGGCGCCTCAGGCGCCAGTCCTGGCGCGCTCCGCGCGCCAGGGAGGGTAGCTTAGCGCAGATCCAAGAACTCCCCGATGAGCTCCGAGAGTTTGTGTTTATGCAGTTTGTTATTCCTCTATCCTTCCCCTCTTCTTCGCATTCCCACTTCTTGTGGTTTTTGATTTTGGTGCTGGCCGCTTCTTTTGCGTCCGGATCGACATTGACTAAGCGAGCAATTTTTCCGTCGATTTTGTCATTCTCGCGCCGTGCACCCAGACCCCGTCGCATCGTCAAACAAATCACGTCGTCAGGTATTTCTTTATGTTGGGCTTCCAGGGGACCTTGCTGGGGCAGTAAGCATTATGGTGAAGGCGCCGCCCAGAGATCCCACGTATCGAAACGAATCAATAAGGATGTTTCTCTTGAATGTCGGCCCCTGGCCCTGGGGCCGTCAAAAGAAGGACTTAGAATGTACAACCAGTCCCCAGGAGAGGGTCGAGACTTGCGGGACCCCGTATGGACAAGCATCAAGACATCGAGCCTTTGGGGACCCAGACCCCGTCGGGTCGTTGAACAAATCTTGACAGGAGGCTGTTTTTATGTTTTTGGTTTCGCGAAGCCCTTCGCGGGCCTCGGGGCAGAAGTTCTAGGCCTGCTAGATGGGGTCGGAGTAGGTGGGGTCGGAGGACCGCGCCGCATCGCTGATGCATCGACAATGCTTCTCGATGCGGAGCCCGACTTGCTTCACGTTGATGGCGCCGATTGATCGCCCACTTCGAAAATGCATCGCCAGTGCATCGCGGATGCATCTCCGATACATCGCCGATCCGGCGATGCGGCGATGTATCGGAGACGCAATGTATCGGCGATGCGGCGCGATCCTCTGGCCCCATCTATTCCGACCCCATCTAGGAGGCCTCTAGTCATGAAAACGGTTCAGGATAAAACAACTGGTTCGCGAGAACGGATCTGGACCTCTGGGGCTTCACGTCATGAAAACAACACAGCGTCGGGAGTCTGGCGAAGAACCGCGACAGACGAGTTTGGGCAGGGCTCGGGCTCTGGGGGTCCTTGCCTGACACCGGGGCCCGAGTTGCTCTTAGTAACGCTGGGGGCGTTTGTTTTCAGTTTTCAGTTCTCCGTGTTGCGGTCGACGAACACCGAAAGCAAACATGGCAACCCACAAAATATGAAATACACGATACCCGCCGGGTCCAAAACGAGTGAACACTGACAACTCACGACAGAACAAAATGCAGCAACCCAAAACAGAAAGCAATTTACAGAAACGGACACGTAACACAATGCCGCTAAACACAAACATAACGGATCGCAGAACGAACCGACATCGGCGAGACGGCAATGCAGAACGAAACATATATTCCAGAAAACATACAAGCACGTCGACCTTGACAACAAGAAAAATACTCCCAGCGCTTTTGTTAAGCACATCTCATATTGGAGGTTCAACAAGAGCACGGCGTCGGACGTTTGGCAGAGGAGTGGGATCGAGGATATGGGCGCACACTCTTTGCTTTAGCGGGCCTCCACGTTTTCCTGATTCTCGCATGCCTGGCCTTTTAGTTGCTGGGCCCACCTGTGTCTAATTCGTGGGCTTCCGCGCCTAGGTCAGTCATCTTGCTTTCATTTCGCCGCTCGCTTTGTCAACAAGGATCGAGGCTCGAAACGTCGAGCCCAGACGTCTGGTGCCTCCGAAAGATCCAGGCGGCCAGGTCGTGGCCATTATTTTCTTCCAGAGGCGGGCCTCGGGACGGTCAGTGAACGACTCTGATGAGAATTGGTCGCGAAGGAGGTCAGGAGGTCCGAGGGCTCAGTATCGTTTAGCCGACGCCTGTCCCCATCCCCATCCTCATCCAGACCCCCACCATCTCAGCACTCCAGATGGGTAGCTCCCCCTCGAAACCCAATGGAATCAGCCTGTATCCCCATATAGGAGGTGCATCGGCCAGTGGGGTCTGGGCCACGCCGCCCAAGCATCAAAATTAAAGCGCCGGATGTCTTGGATCGAGAATCTTGAATTGAAGGTTCTGGGGCTCGATCAGGTTTTTCTGCATCCTAGGGTTAGGAGGCCTGCATGTAGCCAGTGGACTGTCAGGGATCACTCCCGGATGACAGACCAGCCAGGCAGGACGAAGGGATTGAGGTTCGAGCATCAAGGTTCGACGTCGGCGTTTTAGTTTCAGAGGGTCGGGGGTGTTTCCAGATGATGTTTTCGTCACCATGCGTGGTTTCACGCGCCTCGAGACACTGGCCGCGATGCCCCCAAGGGAGTGTCCAGGGACCAATTTGGGGCAAAGCGGGTCGGACGAAAGGAGGTGATTGAGAACTGTTGCTTGCAGCTGGTTTCGGCCCCGCTGCCCCCCAGGGCCGGGAGGCGCCGGAGAACCTAGCCACTTAAGGTGATTCGCTAAGCCCCCCTTTGCCATCCCACCCATACGTTCGACCCGACCCAGGAAGCCCGACCACCTTCAGAGCTCGCCCACACCTCTCCGCTCCATGCACCCACACTGGGCTACACGTCCAAGGTAGATTTTGATCGAGAATGCGTCAAGAAATTGCCCAGGTTTCTTGTCTTGGCATTTTCTGAAACATCGTCCTGGCCTTGGAGGAGGAGGGAGGTATGGGGCAGGAGGAGAGCTCCCAAATACTCCATGCCTTTTTAGTCCTCCTGGGGGTTGGGACTGATGTTGCCACGGCTGGATCCGCCCCGAACTACAGGCCAGGGCACGCTCCCGGAGAGGTCTGGGGGTCGGTCTGTTTGAGCACCACCACAGGCAGTGGCAGCGGGCACTGTCGCTGCTCAGGCAGATGGCGGAGGCCAAGCTGGAGACCAATGTCATCAGCTGCAACGCTGGAATGAGCGCCTGCGAGAAGGGCAGGCAGTGGCAGCAGGCGCTGTTGCTACTCAGCGAGATGCGGGAGGCGCGGCTGATGCCAAGCGTCGTCAGCTACAGCTCCGGGGTCAGCGCGTGCGAGAAGGGGGGGCAGTGGGAGCGGGCGCTGTCTCTGCTTGTCGAGCTGCGGGGGGCTGCACTGGAGATGGACGTCATCATCTACAGCGCTGGGATCAGCGCCTGCGAGAAGAGCGGGCACTGGCAGCAGGCTCTATCTCTTCTCAGCGAGGTGCTGGAGGCCAAGTTGGAGGCCAACGTCATCAGCTACAGTGCCGGAATCAGCGCCTGCGAGAAGGGCGCGCAGTGGGAACACGCGCTGTCCTTACTCAGAAGGGTACGGGGGGCAAAGTTGGAGCTGGACGTCGTCAGCTACAGCGCTGGAATCAGCGCCTGCGAGAAGGGGGCACAGTGGCAGCATGCTCTACTGCTGCTCGATGAGTTGAAAGAGGGGAATTTGGAGCTGGACGTCGTCAGCTGCAGCGCTGGTATCAGCGCGTGCGAAATAGCTGGACAGTGGCAGCAGGCGCTGGCGCTGCTCAGCATGCTGCCAGAGGCAAAGCTGAAACCCAGCGTCGTAAGTTACAGCGCTGGTATCAGCGCGTGCGGGAAGTGCGCGCAGTGGGAGCAGGCGCTCTCGTTGCTTCGTGAGCTGAGGGAGGTGATGTTAGAGCCCAATATTATCTACGGTAGGTTCGCGTCGTGTCGACCGGCGGCGACCCCGCCGCCGACGTTCAACGTTGAACGCCGACGGCGGCCCAGAATCGGTGGATGTTGAACGATCGGACGTTGCGGAGACGGCCGATCGTTCAAGGTTGAACGATCCAGCGCGGTGTCGGGAACCAACGCTGGCGTCGGCACGACACGAACCTGCCGTAACCTACACTGCGGGGCCTTGCGCGTGCGAGAAGGGCCATTCTGGGGCCCCCTCGCAGGGCCCTGGGGGGCGGCACCTCGGCGGCTCCGTTGGTGAGGACGGTCCGCGCGAGCCCCCAGAGAGCCCACGGTGGCTTCCAGGGAGCCCCAAGAGAACCCAAGACGGCCCAAGAGGCCTCCACGACGGCCCAAGAGACGCCCAGTGGCGTCCCAGGAGGGCCCCAAGAGGCCAAACTCATCGGAATCTCCAGAAAGGAAAACGTGCATTTCGAGCATGTACGGCTTCGGCTGTCATGGCGCTGAGGACTATCCAAGAGGCCCCCAAGACGGCCCAAGAGAAGCTTCCAAGAGGCCCCCAAAACGGCCCAAGAGGGCGCCAAGACGGCCCAAGACGCGCCCAAGACGGCCCAAGAGGGCCCCAAGGCGGCCCCAAGAGGGGGACCTCGAACCGAAAATCACAGCCTTCCGCCCCAAGACGCCCCCAAGAGGCTCCCAAGAGGCTCCGAAGAGGCACCAAGAGGCCCCCGAGAGGCACAAACGAGGCACCAAGATGCCCCCAAACGGCCCCCAAAAGGCTTCGACACTGCCTCCGAGAGGCCCGCGAGAAGCCTCCCCAGAAGGCCAACTGTGGAACAACCTCCCCATCAGGCCCAGCACGGCGCCCAAGGTTTCCGAAATCGGCCCACCGTGGCCCGGGTGGACTCCCAGAAAGCTTTGAAATTTGCCATTTCACTGAAGCCCCGTCGGATAGGAAAAACACACACACACACCACACCTCTTGTGACACCTCTCGCATTGTTTCCTCACGCCTCCTGGGAAACGCGGCGTGCGAGAGAGGCCTCAGAAAGCAGCGTCCTTGGGTGCCGCGGGGGGGCCCGGACGAATTTTCGGCAAGCCCTCCCGAGGAGGATCCCATGAGGTGCGGGGTATTGTTTTTTACTCACAGGTGGACTCCCTCCTCTCTTGGAACCGTCTTGGGGCTCCTTTGGAGCTTTCTTGGGGCCCTCTTGGGGCCCCAAGAGGGGCCTACAACCTGTCACGAAGACGGCCCCTTGGGTCCTCTTGGGGCCCTCTTGGGGCAGTCTTGGGTCCTCCTGAGGGGGTCCTATCGGGGCTGAGGGTCCCCTGAGAGCTCCAGCCGACTTGCCCCCGCGTCTGGAGCTCTTGGGGGCTCACTTGGGGCCCTCTTGGGGCCCTCTGGAACAGTCTTGGGGCCCCTTTGGAGCTTTCTTGGGGCCCTTTTGAGGCCATCTTGGGCTGGAAGGGGATGGCCGAAAAACCTTTCAGACCGAGCCGCCAACGCCCTGGAACGCTTTTTCTGGGACAACTCCGGCACGGCGCGTGTTCCAGGAGGCGGGGGGTATGGTTTTTCCATACAGGTTACACTCCCTTCCTCGACCTTCTCCTCGTTGCCCACGGTTCCCTCTGCACAGTGGTTGCCGTCGTTTGCCAGTCACGTCGCTCCACCCACCTCTCGGGTTACTGCCGGTGCTGCCATATCCGATGCTGCTGCAAACGATGCTCTCGGCGCCGACAGGATCATCGAGCAGCCAGCTCGCCCTGAAGCACTACGCAGCAGCATGCGCCCTCCCAATACATTAGCAACCGTGGACGGTAGTCAACAGGTCAGCCTTAGTCAGCTACAACGCTGGAATCAGCGCGTGCGAAAAAGGTGCGCGGTGGGAGCACGCGCTGTCATTGGTCAGCGAGCTGCGCGAGGCGATGTTAGAGCCAGCCGTCAGCCAATACTGGGCGCAGGGCGTGCCAGGAGGCGCCAGACGCAAGTACCCAACAGTGGGCCCAGCAGTTCCTGGTGCGCCCCCCCAGGACGCTCCCAGGCGGCCCAGGGGTCCCCCTCGGGCCCCGCGCGGCTCGAAGAGAGCCCCGAGAGGAGGCGCCCGCGACCGCCGCACGGGCTCCCATGGCCAGACCCCGGCGCCGCAGGAGCGGCGCCTCTCGAGGCTCCAGGTCGGCCTCGGCGCGGCCTCCGAGAGGTGGAAATGGTCGGTGCGCCTGTGGGCATCCCTCCGGTCCCGCACTCTCCACTTGTGGTTCCTTTTCTTCCCACGGTCGGGGGTCCCCAAACGGGGTGGTGACCACACCGCGCGGCGAGTCGGTGGGGATTCGGGGTCACCGCACGGTTTTGGGACTCGGATCGTTCTCCGAGGACGTCTCGGGCGACAGGGGCCTCCGAGGTCCCAAGACCGTGCGGTGACGGACCGTGCGGTGAGGTCTTGGGGGATTTCGAGGTCACCGCACGGTCTGTCACCGCAGCGTTTCGGGACTCCCAGCCACGGCTCCCAGCAAGGGAAGCCGGCAAGAGCCCCCGAGACGGTCCCAGGAAAAGCCCTTCCAGGCAGCCCCGCGGGCTCCTGCAAGGGCCGTGCGAGGCGCCCGAGAAGCCCAGGGTCGCCCAGAGAGGCTCCACGAGAGCTCAGGAACGAAGGGCCCAACATTGCCCTAGCAGGTCCCAGGAGGGCTCCAACACTGCATTCAATTGCCCGCGTAAGGTCGCGTAAGGTCGCGCGTGAGCTCCCTCTTATCCAAGCGGCCCGCGTAAGCCGCGGCGTAAGGTTGCTCTGCGTACTTGCGTCAGACCGTTTCTGCTCGTCGTTCCCATCTCTTTTCTACATGGCTCCGAGAGGTTTAACAGATGGCCCCCGACGCCCCAAGAACAGCCTAAGAAGGCCCAGGCCGGCCTCGAAGATGGCCCCGAGACACTTCCAGAACCCCCCCAGACCTCCCCTCAGGAGGACCTCGCGAAGCCGCCAAGAAACCCAAGAATGCCCAGTGAGGAGCCACCAGGGCCCAAGGACGGCCCAGGATCGCCCCAACAGCCTCCAGGACAGTCCCAAAATGGTCCTCACAAGAGTGGCGCAAGAAACGGGTTCGACTGCTCGGACATACGCTCGGACATTCGCTGTAAGTTTCCGTAAAAAAAGTAATCAACAAAAAAAAGCGTTCAGCGCCCTCTTCTCCATGTGGCGTGCCACGCTGTCGGCCCGCGCCAGCCTCCGCGTGAGGATTGCTCTGTCTTCTTGCTTCGTCGCCCATGTGATCCTAGGCAACCCGCCAAAGTGGCGTTGCTCGTTGCTCCACTCCAGGCAGCAGGGCTGCCCAACAGCGCGCGGCAGCGCGCGGCAGCGACTGGCACCGTGCAGGAGCAGGAAGCATGGTTCGCCCGGTGTGTACGCCGAGCGGGCTGCACCAGCAAGCACGAGACGCAGGCGGCGCTAGCAGGCCGCGAGCAGCAACGACAAGCAGCAGCACCAAGCAGCAAGAGCAGGTGGCAGCGGCAGGCATTGGCAGCAGCCCGCAGCGACATGCGGCGGCGCGCAGCAGCAGCAGCCAGGCAGCGTCAACTGGCGCCTGGCATCAGCACGCAGCAGCACCACGAAACTGCACGCAGCACCTCGCACCTGCAAGTTCCACCCACTCATGGGAAGAAGTCGCAAACTGCAGCGAGTAGCAGTACGGACGAGCAAGCAATGAAGCAATGAACAAATAAAGTTGTCGGGCCATCAGGCGAACAGCCCCGCCAGCAGGAGAGCGGGCAAGCTGTCATGGTAGCTAGGAGGAGTTAGCTGTCATGCTATCCAGGAGGAGTCTAATCAGATAAAGGCAATTCGTATCGGATTGAATGTGCTGTTTCGCCCTGTTCAGCTACAACGCTGGGATCAGCGCGTGCGAGAAAGCTGCGCAGTGGGAAAACGCGCTAACATTGCTCAGGGGTCTGTGGGAGGCCAAGTTGAGGCCAAGCGTCGTCAGCTACAACGCAGGAATCAGCGCCTGCGAAAAGGGGGGGCACTGGCAGCATGCACTGCTGCTGCTCGGAGAGCTGTGGGAGGCGGAGTTGGAAGCGGACGTTATCTATACTAGAGTACTGGGCACTTGCGCGTGCGACAAGGGCGAGCGATGGTCACCCGCGGCGGCGCCCCAGACACGCCGCCCGTGGGGTGACGCCGTCCCGGCCCGGGACAGCCCCGGCACGGCCCATGAGGGCCCCGACGGAGGCCTCGAGTCTCCCGGGAGCTCCCCAGCGAGCCCGAGAGGGCCCAAGGACGGGCTCGAGGGCCCCCACGAGCTTCCACGGAGCTCCCAGGGGACCCCCACGAGGGCCCCGAGGCCGCAAAACTATCGATATTCTCGACGGTTCTTGACGTTTCTGGTGGTGCTCCTCCCGCCCGCCCCAAGATGCCCACCACGGCACCGCGGGCGTCCGAAATCGGGCCCATGCTGCCCTGGAGGCCTCCAAGAGAGTCCCCAAGACGGCCCTAGAGGCCCCCGATCGAGCTCCCGGGGCCCCCAAGACGGCCCAAGAACCGCCCCAGACGCCCCCAAGGGACGCCCAAGATGGTCCAGTTCGGGGGCCCTCCACGGCCAGCAAGGGTGCAAGCCGCCCCCGAGAGGCCCCCAGAAGGCCCCGGAGGCGCTCCCAAGAGACCCCCGGGCGCTCTCCAGAGGCTCCCAGAAGGCTTCAGAGGCGCCCCCAAAAGCTCTCAAGAGGCTCTCCAGAGGCTCCCACAGAGCCCCACGAGGACCCCCTCCTGGGTATCGGAGAGCACCCCCGCCGCTTCCCCGATGCCTCCGCTGGGAACAGCCTGCTGCAGCACGCGGCACTGCTGGCACGACAAGCAGCAGGCTTGACAGGAGGAAGGGGATAAGACGGAGGAGGAGGGCGAGAGGAGGGGAGGAGGAGCATGAGGACGAGGCGGACGGCAACGACGACGACGACGACGACGACGACGACGACGACGACGACGACGACGACGACGACGACGACGACGACGACGGCGACGACGACGACGACGACGACGCCGACGACGACGCCGACGACGACGCCGACGACGACCACGACCACGACCACGACCACGACCACGACCACGACGACGACGACGACGACGACGACGACGACGACGACGACGAGGACGAGGACGAGGACGAGGACGAGGACGAGGACGAGGAGGACGAGGACGAGAAGGCTCCCGGGAGACCCCCGGAGGTCCGCGTTGCTTCTGTTGTTGCTGGAGCTGCTGCTGCAGCTGTTGCTGTTGCTACTGCCGATGGTGCTGGATCTGCTGCTGCTGCTGCTGCTGCTGCTGCTGTCAGCATTGCTCCAGACGCCGTCAGGATCATCAAGCAAACAGCGCACCCTGAAGCAATAAGCAGCAACGAGCAGAGGCTCAATCTTCTGGCACTCGTGGACGGTACACCACGCTCGATGTTTAAGAAAACACAGTTTTGCAGCCAGAGTCTGGAATTTTTTGTCCTAGACACACGGCTGAAGAAACCACCGGCGCTGGCCAGAACCTGGGGAAATTTCGCAAGCTTGATGCTTCCTTGGGGTCGTGTGGGCGCCCACTTGGGCCCCACTTGGATTCGGCTCGGGCCACACTTGGGTTGGACTCGGGCCCCACTTGGGCCCCACTTGGATTCGGCTCGGGCCCCACTTGGGCCCCACTTGGATTCGGCTCGGGCCCCACTTGGAGGGGGCTCGGGCCCCACTTGGGCCCTACTTGGATTCGGCTCGGGCCCCACTTGGGCCCCACTTGGATTCGGCTCGGGCCCCACTTGGATTCGGCTCGGGCCCCACTTGGAGGGGGCTCGGGCCCCACTTGGGCCCCACTTGGATTCGGCTCGGGCCCCACTTGGGCCCCACTTGGATTCGGCTCGGGCCCCACTTGGGCCCCACTTGGATTCGGCTCGGGCCCCACTTGGAGGGGGGATCGGGCCCCACTTGGGCCCCACTTGGATTCGGCTCGGGCCCCACTTGGGCCCCACTTGGATTCGGCTCGGGCCCCACTTGGAGGGGGGACCCACTTGGATTCGGCTCGGGCCCCACTTGGGCCCCACTTGGATTCGGCTCGGGCCCCACTTGGAGGGGGCTCGGGCCCCACTTGGGCCCCACTTGGATTCGGCTCGGGCCCCACTTGGGCTCCACTTGGATTCGGCTCGGGCCCCACTTGGAGGGGGCTCGGGCCCCACTTGGGCCCCGCTTGGATTCGGCTCTCAAAAGGCTCCCAGAGGCTCTCTAGAGGCTCCCACAGAGCCCCACGAGGACCCCCTCCTGGGTATCGGCCCCGCCGCCTCCGTTGGGAACAGCCGGGCTACAGCACGCGGCACTGCTGGCACGACAAGCAGCAGGCTGGACAGACGACGACGACCACGACGACGACGACGACGACGACGACGACGACGGCGACGACGACGCCGACGACGACGCCGACGACGACGCCGACGACGACCACGACCACGACCACGACCACGACCACGACGACGACGACGACGACGACGACGACGAGGACGAGGACGAGGAGGACGAGGACGAGAAGGCTCCCGGGAGACCCCCGGAGGTCCGCGTTGCTTCTGTTGTTGCTGGAGCTGCTGCTGCAGCTGTTGCTGCTGCTACTGCCGATGGTGCTGGATCTGCTGCTGCTGCTGCTGCTGCTGATGCTGCTGGTAGTATGATGACCGATGAGATGACGATAACAACGAGGGGACGAAGGAGGAGAGACGAGGATCTGCAAAGGCCAGGCTCTCCTTTCCTTCCCCCCCCACGCTTTCGGCACCTATCTCCGTCAGGGTCGCCGAGTTGAGACGGCAGTCCATGCTGGATTCCGAGGTTACGCTCTCCCTCTTCCCTGGGCCGCGTCTGCGGGTCAAATCAAGTCAATAAAATGAGCAAGCACGATCAGACTGCATGGCAAAGGAAACTCGGCGATAAACACA